AATTAAAAAATAGTTTTCTCTCTTTTTCTACTTATTGTAGGCTATAATTTTTTGAGTAAAGAAGTACACTATATATACAATATACAATCAAATTATTTAATTCATAGCAATTTTCTTAAGAATTTACTAATCAAAAAGTAGTTTGAAATATTTATTATTTAATAACATGTACTGCGTAAACATAATGTTAACTTTCGTGAAATTTTTTTACGATTCATATAAAAGAATTTTATTAAATGTTCTATTTATAATTTTTGAAGCTTTAAAATCCAGTCTTTCCAGTCTTCGTTTTTTCCTACCAATAATTAGCACCAGTAACTGGTGCGTTAATCATTGAAATAAAACGTAAGCGTGATTTAAACTTTACAAAAGATAGACATATATTTTTAGGAAGCATTTAAAACTTTAAGCTTTGTTTTCATCAGATCGTATAACCGTTGACTTTATGAAGGATGGAGTATACAGTACTTTTTTAAGACTTTGAAGAAGCGCTTCCTGCTGTTTGAGTGCGCGTCTTTCGTAAGTTTAACGATTCTCGCAGTCGTCTTATTTCTCGGATGTGCATCCGCGCGGAAACCTCTGTAAAAAAAATTGATTGTCCGTTATCAGACATTTACGATCCTTTAATTTCGATTTCGTGACGCGGGTTCGCAACGATAGTTTATTATCGCTTGCGTTATTAATCGCTACAATATAACGTCGTAATCTAGGAAAGACCGGAAACAATTGTTTCGCGGTTGAACGTGTACGCGCAACAAGTCGCGTCCGATAAGTCATAGCCAGGGCGGGGGTATCTATGTCGTTCCCGGTAATAAACATATCTGTATCGAGATGGTGGTCGTACGTGTGAACGGTTACAACCACATCCGCTTGGGACGGTGGTATAGAATTTCCAATATTGGATACACTTGTGCAGTATGAAGGCGGATGATATCTATCACGACATCTTCACCATGCGATCGATAATGCAGTAATTGGCGTCTTTCATCTTCCAGAAATTATCGGTTATGCATAAATTTACATAGCGCATTTATAATTAACTTTTTTATATTATAATAATTTTTATATTATAATAATATATTATAATTAACTTTTGAAAGAAGTAAAATTATTTTTTTTCTATTTTATTTATATATTCCCTACTTTTTTTACACATCCTCATATTAAATTAAAAGTCTTAAACACCACTTATACTTTTGTTAGATTATTTTATAAAAATGTAATAAAATATATACACATAAAAAATATCTTAAGTATCTGTACTTAAGATCGCGTCTTAAATATTCATACGGCTATTCTCCAGACAAAAACTTGTATGCTCTGCTTAACGAGAGCGGATAATGAGAATAGTAAGATGAAACAGGCCTTGTTGTCGGGCCACGAAAAGGAGCGAGCAGAATATGAAGGTCGGAGTTGAGCAAAAGGAGTTTCAAGCGAGAAAAATGATACTTTTCATACCGGAAAATAAAATGAGTCATTCAATGAAGTGGTCATAGTGTCGGCGGTAACGCGTCAGTGTAAAAGCGGGGTGAGAGGTTGCGATTCTGAATGTTCTTCTTCTGTTGTACCTCGCTTCATGTACTTGCCGTTTTCTTCTCGTTGAGTCTTTTTCTTTCTTTCTCCTTATCCGACAAATGGATGGGATAAATTGCACTCTTGGCACTCTTGACTTTTAAACCCGCTAGGCGGATCTGTGTCCAACTATACTTACTTTTAAATGTCTTCCCCGACTGGGATTTCAGCGGTGTCGACGACAATTGCCGACGCTCGTCGGCGACGTCGTACTGACGACGCTCATCGTAATGACGCAACGCCTTACGGATTAAGCCATTCAAAGCTTACGAGCCGGTGATTATATGACGCCTGCGCGATCATCGAATGGGCAATTACGTCTCCGTAAACGGCCGCCGTTGCTGTAAACTCGTCGATTTGCCACGGTCATATGATCCGAAATGTTCTCTCATACGGAAGATCAGGGATCAGAACGGAGATCAGGGATTACATAGAAACTCGACGTGAACATGACATAATTACTTATACTGTCGCGATTAACGATAAAGCGATAAAACAATAAAAATTTTATCGAAAGGATAAACAAATGCTTCCTAAAGTATTTTTATGAAAAGGTTGTTATCTTATAATATACATGTTATATATAATTATATTCAATGATGATATTTGTAATTTACGTTCTTTATCGTACATTTTTTTATGATTATGAGTAATCTGAAGGAAAGAAACAGAATAAGAACAGAATAAATATGACACAAAAAGTAAAAAAGGAGTGTATCGCATTGTAAAAAATAAAATTCAAAATTCAAAATTCGAACTTTGTTTAACTTCTCTTGTCTATTTAGATAATAATAATAAACCATATGCTAAGATGCTCATGTTACAAGGTATATGCGAAACAAGGAAATATGCAACGACATATTTCCATCCAAAGATTATCAATTCGCAACACGTTATTATGACGTGACAACGCTTAAAGAATGCCATTGTCCTGCGCGGTTAGTCCACAAGCAAGATAGTGGATTTAATAATGTTGAGAGCTAGACGTTATGCACACATCGGGATTGGCACACAGCTTTCGGGGGTCTTCAATATCTGAGCAGCTCAGGAGCAGTATTGTCTAAGGCAAGGACGCGATTCTGTTCACTTTGCTTTATGACTGTCTCGACCGATGACGACGATGACAAGCATTATGCTGGGGATAATAGTCTCTACTAACGATTATACATCCGCAAATGAAGTGTATTTTACAGAACAGATGCATTTTGTCAACTCGATCACAAAAATTCACTTTGTCACGGTATTCTTCTGATCTATCTCTTATTCTAATCCGTATAAAACATTCAGAATTAATATATTTTAAGAATTATGTAGAAAGATATAAATACGTAAGAAAATAGTATCATTTCTTAATAATTTTCATAGAACATTACTCGATTTTGCCGGATAACTAATTTGAACATAACGATGAAATTTGACGAGGAAAAATGAGAAAGCGCGACGGATGGACGAAGGAATGCTCATGTCCTCGTCATCCTTGATGCCATGACTCCACGAGCCAAGAGTCGGCCGAACGAGTATAAGTCCTATTCCAATTCCAGCAAGTTAATTGGAATTGTTTGCTGCAGACACCGCGAGCCGCGCGCTCGCGCTCTTCTGAATCCTATACCTCAAGCAGCACTTTCCTTTGTCCCTCCCCCATTTCTGTAGCTGCTGCTATCGTAACTTCAGCATGAAACTCACACCGACATCGCGTTCATATAGTCCCTGACAGTCTGAGAGGAATTAATTTCTATCGTCCACGAATTCAGTGCTGCTCGCTAAAAGCGTCCCGTTAAAATGCTTGCCATTATTCTTTTGAGTTAGCTGAACGATTTTGTCAGAAGAATACATAAGTCTTTATCGCTTCCGTGATAAACACATTTAACTTAATATGCAGTTGGAAGTAAAAATCTTCAAATTATAATACTATCGAATTTTTATAATAACCTAGTATATGGATAATGTGAATGTATACATTACAATCTAATTTAATTTTATTGATCGTTATTCAGGATTATAATTGTTAATGTAAATATAAAATTTACATAGTTGATAAGTTTTTATGTAGCATAATATTTTTTTAATCAGGATGGATTATGTATTTAATAAATTTCTATCGGTTATTTTATTATCGCGATTATAATAGATCTAATTTTTCCAGTTCCTTAGAAAAGTTATTCGCATTTATTCGCTGAAATCTGGCGATGAATTATTCGTTCCTATTAGGCAAATGGTGTGAATTATTTAGATGGCTCTGAGTGTGCGAAAGAGGAGCTATGAATTCTGCATATTGCCGTTTTTGCACTTTCTATTTTAAAATTTCGTTGGTGCAATCAAATTCTTATAATATATATAAATATAAAATTAGCGTAGAATGATAGAAATCGACTACCAGATTTCTTTAAATATGCTAATAAAATACATATTTTGTTTGACAGACGGAAGACTTTTTAAAATAATTTAAACATGTCACAACAAATATTAGTACTAGTTTTGACTTTCTTAGAAACATATTGAATAATTATATGAATATTATGTCTTAAGATAGATAGATAAAGAGAAGGAGAGAAGAGAGAAGAAGGGAGAGAGAGAGAGAGAGAGAGAGAGAGAGAGAGAAAGAGCATCCATACTTATCTGTTTGTAATGATTTAAATATTTTTATTTAGATAAAATACGAGACAAAACTATGCTAATTAATTGTGAAGATAATATTCTCGTTAATATCGCTTACATAAATATATCGATTTTTCTAAGTTTTATTTTTTAATCATTAATACGATTATGTCGTGTCAGTTACGTAAAAGATATGTGATATTAACACATTTTAATTGATTACATGAGAAAACATAATTAGTAAAAATAAGAATTGTTATATATTGTTTGCTTTTTTACCGAAGTTAAAATGTTATTCATGTACACAGTTCATAATACTGAACATATAAGGAAAGATCTTGATTTAGAAGATCTTAATTTAAATTTACGTTTAAGGATATATTTGTATATGCGCGCTAAAAATATTTTGTATATTATCTATAAACATTATAAATTAAATAAAAATTCAAACTATTAAAGATATTAAAGTTGAGATAATATGAAAAAACGTTCTCTCTCGCTTTTTCTCTCTCTCTCTCTCTCTCTCTCTCTCTCTCTCCCTCCCCCCCTCTCTCTCTCTCTCTCTCTCTGTCTGTCTTCTATTCAGTCTATCTCTACTTATATATCTATTTTTCTTTCTCTTTCTCTGTTGGTATTATATTTATTTATATTTAAAAGTGTATAAAAGAAAGAAGAAAATGAAATAAGAGTTGTTTATTATAAAGAAATCGTTTAATTTGTTATTAGTTGCGAAAAAATAATTATTTATGAATTAATTTTATGTTATGTTATTATATTAGCGTTAATTTAAAATAAATTATTAATTGCAAACGTTCAAACTATAAACGCTGATTTTAATATAGGGATTTAAGGCCAATTATTCTGTTGCTAAAATTTGTTAATCCTTTCACATCCAATCCCACTTCATTAGTTTTCATGATAAACAACTTATAGGTCTCATGAGCGATTAGATTCTTGATGATTTCCTTCATTTCTTTGGACGTAATCTTTGTGATGAAATCAGTGAAGACTTTGGAAGTTTTTAACTTTTTTATGTAAAGAGCATCAATTTCGTCCAAAGGTAATACATCATAAAGATCCTTGAACAGTCCTTCCATTCCATCACCGATATTCTGTATCTTACTTAGAGACATAAAAAGATTCTTTATTTTGGATGGCATATATTTTTCCATGCCGATAGCATGATGTAATGCTTGAATAGATTCAATAACAGGGAGCCCAGCCTTTTCTAAATATACCACGAATGCTTGATATTCCTTAAGAGCTTCGAGAGCACGCAGCAGATCGTGGAACTCAATTGTGAATATGAACAGTGCAGCTTTCTGTACTTTTTCATCTTCATTTACATACTGGATTATTATATTGAAAAACTTTTCTATCGGAATAAGATGGATGAAATCTTTTAGTTCTTCTATTATCGTTTTAGAAGGAAGACTTGGTACTTTGATGCCGAGAACGAGATACATGATATCTTCCACAATTTTTAAACTCACTGATTTAACCTCAAGATAGTTTAGGATTAACTGGAAGGTCTCAATTTTATAAATTTTGTTAACAATCTGTTGGAAATTGTTGGATTTAAGTTGGTTAATGAAGTTGACAAAGGCTGTAGAGGTTTTTAATTTATCCGCGAATATGCTAATAAAGACATCATAATCAATGTGTTTCTTGATTTCATTGATCAATCCGCGGAGTCCGCCAGTTGTCTTTCTCGTTATAGAATACGTTTGAGAGCTGGATGGTACGAGTTCCTTAATATCATGTGCTTGGTTAATCATGTTTATTACGTGAAAAATATTGATGCCTTCATTATGCAGATACATAAGTAGCCTGAGTACTTCAGGAATAGTTTGAATGTCTATCAGCATGCGTTTGATTATAGGTGTATTTTGATGAAAGTCATTAAATATCTCTTGTATTTCATTATCATGCATCACATAGTACACAATATCATCGATAATTTTTTCTAGAGGAACTAAATCTAGAATGTCTTGTAAATCCTCATGAAGAAGACCTGTACCGAAATTCGGGAACTGATGAGTTTGTCCCAGTCCGATAATGGCCAAAATGGCAAATAGGCTTAATGTGAATTTCATCTGTAAATTAATATTGAGCGTATTATATTACATTATATTACACAACATATCTTTCAATATGTATAACTATCATCTGTAATGAAAAGCATTATTTTGAAAAATATATCAATGTTTTCCATTAATGATTAATTTTCATATACAAAGTATTTGTGATTACATATAAAAAATGAATGATATAAATAATTATTATTTTGTTAAGATTACGTGATAATATTATAATTTTTATCTTATATATGAATAAATCATAGTTTAAAAATTTTTTGTAATAATAAATTTTTTTGCAAAGATGAAAATTAAGATGAAAATTTAAAAATATATAACAAAAAATATATTACATATTTTTAATATATATATATATATACTTTTTTCTTAGCTTTATTTAATTTTAAATAGATTTTTCTTGAATAAAATAGATCAAATTGAAGATCACAATATAAAACAATATAAGGAATATAATAAAAAATAAAAGATCTATGCTCTTTATTTCTCCATTTTATTTAACTTTAACTAGATTTTTCTTGAATAACTATTAAAAATTAAAAACAAAACAAAGCAAATACAGCACAAAAGAATTAAAAATATAAAGATATATATTTCATTAATTATAAGAATTTTTTGAAAGAAGAAATTTATATGATTAAATTTCTATTAAAAATGAAATTTGTACTAATCTATAGATTGATTGAATGAAGCTAAAAATAGAAAGAGCAATATTTGCATAAATACTTGTAAAAGGTATACATATGTATACATGTAAGAGGTATGAAGAAACTTACTTACCGTGAGTTGTAGATGCAGATTGCGAACGTGAATAATTTATCGTACATTTATATACTAGTAATCTAGCTGTACGAAAAGATTACGAAATTCGATAAGAAACTGATTAGATTGAAATATTGATTCATATGAAAATTCAGGAATTATTTGATAAGCTCGTCTAAAAGCTTATCAAATAGACAAGCTTTCCAACAATATTATATAGTATATACATGTATAAGAAATAATAAAAATGTATGAATATAATACAACTTTTTTTCTAAATATGATAAATATTTGTAAAATTTATATTTGCATTTATTTGGATTAACGGCATATTTCATTTGCGCATATTTATGTAAATAATTGACTTTACTATTTAAAGAATATTTCAGTTTTAATATTTTTATTTATTTGCTTTACAATTTTTATTTTCTGTTATTATATGTCTATCTTTTTTACTATATAGTTGTATTTAACAATTTGTGTTATCCCTTTAATTTGTGCGCAATATCTTATTATGAGTAATGATGAACTGTTTTATTTGCTAGTCTATATTTTAAAATCATAGATTACATTTTCTTCACAGAGGAAAAATAATATATTTCTACTTTTTAGATTTCATATTATGATGTATTTATTAAGATATCTATAATTAAGTAATGTTTCTTTTTTTCAGACATTTGATATTAATCGTGCTATGATTCATATCAAATTTGTCAGAATATGTACTCAAAACAATTTATAATTTATTGATAACAACTTTCTCATTATTAAACAAAGATTATCCAAGATAACGTTTAAAAACATTTCATTTAAAGAAATATATTTATCTGCATTTTATAATAACAATCATTAAAAGTAAAGTCAAAATATCTGTTATTGATAATATTTGTTTCACATATAATAAAATGAATTAAAAATACGATATGTCTTCATAACATTACTATGCTTTGTGTTATTAACAAATAGTATAGAATTCCATGTTGTAAAAAAATATTGAATATATTAGGTAAAAAGAAATCCATTATTTTTCCATTCAATTTCATGCAAAAATAATGGATTTTTTTTTACTAATATAAAAGATGTGTCGAGAACATTATATAATAATTAAAATATAAAAATGAAAAATTTATAATAACAAATATTGACTTTATTTTGTTAAATAACAACATTTTTATTACAGAATTTATAATTTATAGTGAAATCAAATAAAAAAGTAATATTAAAATTATCAATAACTTTTCTGTAAAAAGTAAATATACAAATTTATTATATAGTAAATGACGCTATTAGAATTGTTTTAATACAACAAAAACTTTTACAATCTTTTAATATATAATCTTTTACAATCTTTTAATAAAATCTTTTTCTATCTTTTAATAAAATATCTTATTATTAAGTAAAAAGTTGTGTATAGCAAAGTAAATAGTATGATATTTAAATTTATTGTTATTGATATTTAAATTTATTTGTTATATTAATTTCCGAGCAATCTGCACTTTTCCGACATTGAAGTTATCTTATCTAATCCTTTATTAACTGACTTTTCTAACAAGATTTAAGATAACTTTAATATATAAATTTGTGCTAACTAGCTAGGTACTCGAATGTCTTTGTGTTCATCAACAGCTGTCATAGTAAGTAAAAACATAGTCTCTTATAAAAAGATTACATATGCATGAATAAAATTACATTTTTTAACAAAAATAAATTGCATAATAATTATGAAAAACATCTTAATTAAATAATAATAATTATTTCTTTTTATTCTTATTATTATTTTCTTAATGTAAATCATAAATAAAACAATTATAATTTAAAAAATTCTTTTTTTTACATCAAAAAATTTATACACATAAAATGTTAAATTTTGACATAATTAATACTAACTTCTTACACATGAATATATCACAGATGAAGTATATATCAGCGCTATTTGCCGCTTTGACCATTATCGGTCTGGGACAAGCTCATCAGTTCCCGGACTTCGGCAAAGGTCCTGTTCATGAGGATTTCCAAGACTTTTTGGACTTAATTCCTTATAAAAAAATTCGAACCATCGTTTTGGATTACGTATTAGGAGATTCGGAAGTACAAGAAGCTGTTAATTATCTTAAAACTTCAACCATATTAAAAGATTTGATGATAGATTTGGAAACTATTCCTGAAGTGATTAATATTCTAGATTATATGCAAAAGGAAGGCGTCGATGCTTATTCATTAGTAAATAAAGCTAACGATGCCCTCGGTATCGACAGGATCACACCGCCTTCTCGTTTATATTCCTTGGTCATACAGAGGACTGGTGGAATTGCAGGACTTGTCAAAGATATTATGGATATGATTCCTATTGCCAAGATCATTCGTATTTACGTGCAAAAGATGAAAACTTCTTCAGCTTTCGTCGGTTTTGTCAACCAACTCAAGTCAGACAATGCCCAGCAGGCCGTAAACAAAATCTATCAAATTAAATCCTTGCAGATCATTTTGAATAGACTCAAAAGCAGCGGAGTGAATACGCAGATTACAGCTGATGTCATATATATTGTCCTCAACCTTAATGTACCGAACGATATTACTGTTTACCAAGAGCCTACGCTGGAAGACGAATTGATAGATTTTATGAATCTTCTTCCGATTGATTAGATTATTGAATTAATTTAAAGTATAAAGCTGATAATGAAAAAGTACAGCACTGTCTGCAATACTTGCAGACACCAAAATTTCATTCCAGCGCGATCTTGAAGATCTTAAAAAACATCAAGCATTAATAATATATTTGGAGGAAGCTAGATTGAATGTTACTGATTACATCAAATATTTCATAAGGCTATTGGCATGGCAGATTATGTGCCGCCTAAAATAAAAAGCATTTTCAAATCTCAAATTGGAATACAAAAGATTGATGATGGGATAAAAGGATTGTTGGAGGATTTTTATAATTTAACCTTTACCTTTTGATAAGGTTCAAGGTCTTTATAAAGAGAAATTGCAAAATTCCAAGGTTTTTGTTGATTTCATCGAGAAGATAAAATCTCCGGAAATTATTGATCTGTATGTAAAAATTTTTAAAAATTTTATGATGAAGGCCAAAAAAAATGGATGTGAACTTCCGAAATTGACAAAATTTCCACTAGAATATTTGATTTTAAGTTCCGACATATTAAAATACATAATGTCATATTTTAAGCGTATATTTTAAATATATTTTTTATGTTATTATATGATGCCGATGCTGATATGATGAGAATAATAAAACAAAGTAATTCTTGAATTAAACAATTATTTCTTTAATAATTATAAATAATAATTATATCACTTAATAATTATATCACTACAATATAATAAATAAATTATTTTAATTCTTTTATATAACATAAAGATCGAAATAAAAAGTTAAAGTCTCAAATGCCGATATAAAATTCTTACATTGCTTCTTACATCGCTTTGATTTTAATAAAAACTCTTTAGTCTTTAGTTCAATATAATTTCCTTAATGTTTCCTTTCTTAATGTAATAGATAATTTTCTTCTTCAACTATTTATTTCTGTATTGCATTTTATTAAAATCACTTTTATGTCACAACAAAGTAATTTGTTGATGCAGGCGTTTACATTATAGGCGTTTTCTATGTGAGCCATGTATGTTAATACAAATTATGTAATGTTAAAAAATTTATATACTCTAATTAAATTTAGTAGTAGTATTCAGCTTGGCAATGTAAGTATGTAGAAAATTTATTTATAAAAAAAACATATCTTTAAGGAATACGCTTTAGTACAAAAAAATCGAATTTGAATACTTTATTGTCTTGCGTTTTAATTTATCAAGAGTTAACTCAAAGTTTGCAATGTCGAATCATATTCATGTTACCGTTCTGAAATTCTTTCTAATCCATAACTTTTAATATTCCCATTTTTCGCAATGTTACTGTTTTGAAAGATGAATTGATTCCTACTATTTCACTAAAAACTATTTCACTAAAAAAAGCTCGAGTATCATCATTACATTTTTTTGTTAATACGCCTAAAGTTTCTCCGATTATAATCCATATGCAATGAATGATATTCGTGCTCATTTAATAAATATAAAACGATGATGTTACACAAGTAGTACTAATTTAAAACAAGAAATTAAAGAATACTTGAGTGGATATCTAATTTTTTTGTATACTGAAGATAAAAAGAATATCTTTAATTGCGAGATAGGTATTCTTAGACACAAAGAAAACAAAACTGCAGAAACAGGAGAAAGGAGAGCGTAAGGGCGGTGCTTCCCTAATTAAAATTGTTACAATTTAATAAGCCTCGGAACTTACCATTGGCGCGTCGTAATGGGAAATCGTGAGAAGAATAAGTGAGATAGAACGAGAGAGAGAGACTTCTAGGAGAAGAATGAGGAGAAATCGGACGCTTAAACGAGTGTCTTTAGGGTTACGGACAAAGAGGCTGCAAAAGAGTGAGAAAAAGGGAAAGGAAAGAGACAAAGAGAAAGAAGTGCAAGGGCGCAGAGGAGAAATCTTCGCGATCTCTTAACTTTTCCACTCAATATGGAGCGCAAACTGTACTTTCTTTCTTGCAATATAATTCTCTTTATGATATAGCTTTTGCAAAAGGCTTAATGCGATTTTATAATTTTGCTTCCTTTTTTCAACTTTTTTTTTTATCTTATACATATCGACCGTAAAATTATGCCAATCATATGAAGAAAACAAATGATAGTATTTATTTATCATAAATTTAATTTATTGTCATTTGAAGAAATAGATAATATAATTT